AGACCCTTCCTCCGTCCCCAGCACACGGTCTCCTGGCATTTCCATTTTGTTGAACTGCATTTTGTCCCAGGGGTCTTCCCAGGTGGACCATAGACGGGATGGAGCGCGTCCGGCACCTGGGACTCGGGCAGCTCGCGTCCACCCGGGTTTCTGGGCAGCGGGGTGCGCGCGAGGCAGGCGCGCAGGGGTGCCGGAGCGCGGGTCAGCGCCCCAGGCCGGTGAGCTCCAGGGTGTGTGCAGAGCTTTTGGTGAAATCCACGTTGGAGCTTCCGTTTTCTTCCAGAAACCAGATCCCCTCTTTTCCTCCCCACCCCCACCCCACGACTTCTTTCTTTTTTGTTTCTTCTTCTACTTTTGGGGGGGGGAAGGAGCTATGCTTTCGTTTCTATTCACAAACTTCTCCGAAGTCTGCTACCTCTTTCAGAGTTGGCAATGCGCGTTTGAGACATGGGAGAACCTACCTTTCTCCCAAGACAAGTTGAGATTTTAAAATGCTTTTGCCCCCTCCCCGCTTCTTGGGCCCCCTTGTCTCTGAGGGAAGCGGCTACAGAAACTCAAAACAAGAGCCCCTTATGCCTGGGTGGGTCTGGGCCCAGCCTTCCCCTCCCCTCCTGCCAGCCGTGGCCCCAGCGGAAATGTAAATGTAACATTTCATAAACTGCACCCACCCTGCGGCCTCGGGCACCGTCTTGAATTAGCAAAAATATGTGGTAGCAAAAGTCCTTGCCCAGGCTAAAATATGAAACACGCTGCTGCCGCCGCCTCTGGGTTTAAGGGAGAGAAAGCTAAGGACCCTTGCGCACCCCTGGCCAGGGAGGAGGGGGTGTTCAGGGGACCTCCTGTTCTGTGGTCCCCAAAAGTTAGAGAGGGAGGCCGCCTCTTTGCTCATCAAGAAAAAGTGTGATTTTGTGAAAAGGAGACTCACTTCCGGAGCCAGCAACGCTTAAAAAAATCTCAGCCTTGGGAATTAGGGGAGGCCCTGGGAGGTTATGGGGGGACGCAATTCCAGGGCAGGTTCTTTTGAAAACTTCCGTCTATACTGGGGATCAAGGTGGGGGCTGCCAGGGAAGGGTTTAATTCTTTTTCAGGCTTCAAGGTCTTGACCATCCGGAGACCCCAGCTGGTGCCCGTAGGGGAGATCCCGAGCATGCCTGCCAGGCCCCGATCCCAGAAGTGTTCCTTCTAGGGGAGGGGGGTCCAAGGTCCAAGGTTTCAGGGGGGAGGGGCAGCCCTGCTTGGGGACCTGGGGTTTCACACCCCTGTTCCCTGCAAAGGACCGTCAGGCCACCTTAGGCCCAGGGTCTATGTGACCCCCATGGAAGGCCAAGCCCCTGAGACTGCAGGGGTAAGGGTTAGGGACTGGACAGGCTGCATGTTGGGGGTTCACCACTAAGTCCCTGGGGACTTGGCCTCCTCACCTGAGGCTGGAGTAGTGGGGAGATGTGAGAAGGTCAGGAGAGGAAAAGTTACTCTGCCTCTGAGGATACCGGAAAGTTACTGAGGCCCAGAGAGCCCCTAGTCCCCCGAGACCTGCTCACTAATGCGCGCGCGCTCTCTCTATGTCTCCCTCCTCCCTCCTCTCCTGTCACTCTGCCGTTTCTTGCAGAGACAGTTCACTGGTGGGCGGGGGTCCCCAACTGG